CCACTTTAAAGCCCCGGGGGGGGGGGGGGTGGGGGGGGGGGGTATGGTGTCCCATGCCAGAGTGGCAGTGAACAGTTTGCTAGTCTTAAAAAAAAAAACCAAAAAAAAAAACCTAATCAACTAAAAACTTAAAACAGTAGTCGTCCACCTGTAATGGTACTGGTACGCTCTTTGTCCACACTAGTCGGACATCTTTTGGCATACTAGTACTGTTTTTTTCCAGAAACCCTTTCGAGAATTGATTCTATATCCAACCTAGGCTCCCAAATGTACTTGTATTCTTTGGCGTCCCTATTAAGACATTTGAGCGCACTAGTAGAACAGATACATGTCATGACTGAGGTGTGACTACCAATGGTTATGTTGGTAAAGTCCAGGAGGCTAATAGTGCATGCCACATGCCTAGTAGTGTTACTAGCGTAGCACAGTCGTTTACTCGGAGTGTTGAATTTTGTCCTGGCCGGCCAAAAGTGGTACTTGTAGTGGAAAAGACATTACTTGTAAGACAGCTGTGCTACGGGCGTGGTGACTTCTCTTACTAGTGATGGCAAAGAGCATACTAGTACAAGGAGCTTCAGCTGGATATAATGCGGAAGAATGAAACGGAACGCTAAAGTGGGAAAGTCCCACTTGAGACGAGCACCAAAGCCTTGGGGAGGTCCTGACCAAAAGTGCTTGGAATTGTGCAGAGACCGGAAAGTGGCCAATGTGCCCCTACAACTTTCCGAATAAAGCAGGATAAAACACACACACACACACACACACACACACGCGCGCACACGAAAGAAAAAAAAACCCTGGTGAGCCTTGGAGGAGGTTGTGGTCCTCAGGAGATGAGACGCAGTCAGTGCTTAGATGTCGATTGGAGCCTCATTTCCATCATGTGGTACGGTTCACTTGGGTACCCATTTGGAGTTATCCGTGTGCCTTTGTCGCAGTAAGGTCTCTAAGGTAGAGACAGACACTACTGTACTTGTCGTTTTTTTTCTTCACTGAGGAATAAATTAAAAAGTCTGTAGCTACATGCGCTGCAACGCACACACAAATGGAGTTGACACGGTCTCAAGACCGGCATGGCTCCATCCAACTATTTTCTTCCGCTTATTCATGGTCAGTAGCTTATGCGGGGATGAGTAGACTTCCCTCTCCCGAGCCACCTCATACAGCCCAGAATCCCGAGGCGTTCCCAAGACAACCATAAGAAAGTCTCTCCACCGAGTCCTGGGTCGCCCCTGGGGACACCTCTCTGTGGGATGTGCCTGGAACATCTCACCAGTGAGGCATCCAAACATGATGCCCAAGCCACCTCATCTGGCTACTCTCAACGTAGAGGATCAGCGGTTCGATTCTGAGCTCCTCTTGAATGACCGAGTTGTCTCACCCCATCTCTCAAGGAGTGGCCGGACACCTGGCGGAGGAAACTCATTTCGACCGCTTGTATGCCAGATCTCGTTCTTTGGATCAGGACTCACAGCTCGAGATCGTAGCGAAGGGTAAGAATGTAGACTGACTGGTAAATTGAGAGCAGCTCCTTCATCACCACGACAGACCGATATATAATCAAGGATTTCATTCCAGAACTGGTGCGAGCACTTTGACAACTCGAGGCAAATTTATCTTTAATTCTTAAAATTAATTAAAAATATTTAACTTAAGGCAAATGTAGACTGTAAATTTCCCCAGTGTGGGATAAATAAAAGGATATCTTATCTTAACTCGAGGCAAAGTAAATTCATCAAAAGTTGAGGAACTCCGAAAAAGACTGACAAGCGGAGTTCAGGACTTTTGGGACTTGAGACGAAGTGATTGAGGACTTGAGACAGAGCAAAGACCAAGACTTCAGGTCCGCGACTTTGAGCACTTGAGCCAAAGTAAGACCAACACATTTAGGACTAGAAGACAAGTCAGTAAGACTTTGAGCACTTCAGACGGGATCGAGTCTTTGAGGACTTGAGACGGAGTAAGAACAATGCGAGACTGACTGACTGCAGTTTTGGTTTTTGCTGGTCTTGATGATAAACCCTGAATATCTCATGTCTTATCCCCACCTGACACCCGCATCTGCAAATGGAACCTTCCAAAGTGCGCTGCAAGCCATTTTACAACCAGGAAACACCTTAGGTCATCCAACACTCGACAAACCTAGCAAAAACCAAATGAACCCAAGTGAACCTTCATGTACCAAAGTGTACCTCTTGTTGGAAACGTTGCTTTAGTACCCTTGGCCCAACATGGAAGACTGGTACCGGGTATGATCAGTGCAGAGTCGTTTTCGTCATTTCTGTCACCACCGTCGTACACAGGCAGTAGTGTCAAACCAAACCCTGGTACAGAAAGCCATTGGAGCATCAACCGATATATTTGATATCCATCTTCAGGTCTCTGTACGAGTACGCTTTGGCCTCATCAGTTCGCCGCACGAGTGTCTCCGTCTTTCTAGCCCACTCGTAGGTCCTTAAGCTGGACAGTAAATCAATGCTCAAACAGCTTTCAATTAAACATTTTGAACATTTGATTCATTCCAAAAGGTATCCAGCATAAGGTCCATGTGCGAGTACGCACATTGTCCTCACTCGTCAGACAATTCAGTGCACTAGTTGGATATCGAACAAATGCTCAAATGGCTTGCTCATACCGCTTGTGGTGACACGCTCTCTTCTTTATGCATCCCTCAGTTTCCACGCTCTGTACTGTGCAGGCGCCTGTCCTGTCATTTACATTCTCCCCACTAGGAAGTGACAGAGGCCAGGACTTGAATATGGATGAAGAGGACGAGCCCTTTGTAGTGAGAGGAGGACCCCCCCCCCCCCCCCCACACACACACACACACACAAACACACACACTCGGACAACTGCATAAGAGCCGCAGCAAAAATGTAACAGAAGTGCAGTTTTCTAGGGATGCGAGACCACCCTGCTTGAGTCTAGGGACCGTGTCTCTTCCCGAGCCAGGAAGCGGTAGCCAACTGTGCCCAAACTGAACTGAAGAAGGCCACTCATCACGGGAAATCGGGTCAGAACCTCTGGATTACGGGCTCCGTGTCCTTGTTATTGCGATAGCAGGAGGAGCAGTAGTTGCCCGTCTCGGGGAGTCCGTAGTAGACACAGTTGGGGGTCCGACAAAGACTGGACGGCAGGCTGGGAAGAGCGCCCACGCTGCCCAGGGAGTAGTGGCGCACTGCCGGAAGCGCACTACCGGGCTCCAGGAAGCCGTTGGGGGGGCAGAACCTGGTATAGTCTGGCGGGATGAGCTCTGGCGGGTACGAGGACACCGCATCGTTATTATAGTGAGAGTTAGGTGCGTTTGAGGTGCCGCCCTGTGCCCCTGAGCAGTGCCTTGGAAGGGTGATGTACGACGGGTAGGAGGCCGCTGGCGAGCCGCCGGCCAATTGGCGTCGCGTATCAACGTAGTGCATGTGGAGGTGCGCCGCAGAGGGCGGCTCGTCTGTCAGGGACGGCCGCGGGATGGGAACCACGCCAGTGCACATGGAAGGGCTAAGGAATGAGGTCTTGAGCTGGTTGAATGAGGGCGATGGATTCTCGCCCAGCTCAACTGTCACCGGCCCATTTTTGGGCGGCACGACAGCGTAGGCCACGCCCTTGCGCTCGGCCTCGCGCCGTTGCTCCTGCTCGGCCCGGGAGCGCTCCTCCACCTCGGTGAGGTAGCGCTGAATCCTCTGCTTTCGCAGCGGGTGCTGGTTGTCGGTGGTCAGCATGCCGGCGAACACGAACTTCCGCTCGCCGTGCATGGCTGCCTTGATGATGCCCAGGCTGACCTTGACGTCAGCGCCGTACTTGTAGGTCTCGCCCTCCGTGCCACTCCCTCCGCCGCTGCTGCTCGTGCTGCTGCCCGTCCCGTTGAGGCGCTCGCTGCCCGATGAGGGCGAGCCCTTGCCGGAGTCTTCAGACGCGTGGGGCGTAGCAGGTGAGCCGTCCTTGGCGTTCTTCTCGGCCCCTGTCGAGCCTTTCTTTTTGTGTCCGCTCTCCTTCTTGCCTTGTCCGACACCCCCGTTCTTGCCCGTCATGAGACCGCCCACATTCCGCTTGAACTTGCTGCCTAGCGTCTTTCCGAAGCTGCCCAGCTTGTTGGCTACCGACTCGGCCCTCTTTTTCTCCTTCTCCTTCTTGGCTTTGTCTTTTTGTCCCATCGTGGGCGTCCCGCCGTTGGAGGACGTGGACGAAGCAGATGAGTTGTTCTTGGCCAAGGGTCCGCCACCGTTCACCGTGGATCCTGCGGGGCCGGCGTCTCCGTTGCCATTGGAACTACTGCTGACGGACTCCTTGTCCGACTCACCGGAGTCTGGAGGTGTGCGGACGTCGTCTCCGGCTGACGCGGTGGGCGACTCAGGCTGGGCCAGCGGCGCTTGCTAGATGGTGAGCAAATACACGTAAGGCCCAGAACACACATGGAGATGAGGGTGCTGTTTTTGCATGTTCCTGACCAAGGACCCCCAAAACAATGAATAAATAATAACACCAGACTCTTGTATGTCTTATAAGATTGTCCTATAAAATTATCCTGTGGTCTGAGGTGTGTTAACAGTGGCACAACATAACAGAATCTTTGCGTGTGTTGAGATGATCGGAGCACACCACACCCATTAAGTCTCAAACTGTTAAATGTCTGATATTTCTTTTTCACGTGTGGGGTTGGGAACAGATGAACGATCTTTTAAGATCTGAAAAATCCTTGCGTGTACTGGGCTTTAGTCGACCAGGTTAACATGCCCCCCCCCCCCCACTCGAGTCACTAAAATGTTAACAGTGGCACAACATAACAGAATCTTTGCGTGTGTTGAGATGATCGGAGCACACCACACCCATTAAGTCTCAAACTGTTAAATGTCTGATATTTCTTTTTCACGTGTGGGGTTGGGAACAGATGAACGATCTTTTAAGATCTGAAAAATCCTTGCGTGTACTGGGCTTTAGTCGACCAGGTTAA